ATGATATAAAAATAAAGAAAAACTTGTGTTTAGAACTCCTTTTTCAAAGCAGATCTTAATAACGCACTGCGCATCGATGTTACGAGTTTCTCAAGTTCTTCGACTTTCATTTTCAATATCCTGTTGTCCCGTTCCAATTCGATCGCTTTCGTCGCCATCTCGGACTCCTTCGCTTTCTTGTTCATACGAGACTTCCGCGACGCCTCGTTGTTCTTTTCCCTGGACTCGCGGTAATGCACAGCGAACGATCTGTCTTCCGAGCTGGTCTCGACGCAACGTCTTCTTCCTGATTTCTCGCGTTTCCCTATCCTATTGTAGGTCTTCTCCACCTTGTGAGTGACGGATGTCCTTAGCCTTTCCGATTTACGGGAAGATACTATGGGTGATTCTGCAGCAGACGATGTTACTGTTGATGCTGCCCGTGTTTGCACGGGTTCTTGAACGGTCGACTTGTTCTCTGCTTTCACTATTTCGTACGGCTGCGGTATACTCGGGGATGAGTCAGCGGTTGACCACGGTTTCGACAACACTGATGAATCCGTTGAAACGCTGCCCTCTGGCGAACGCATTTCATCCTGCAAAATACGTATAATGCATTATAGATTATTTTACAAGACAACAGTCTGGAAATAGAAGGCGCTTTCGACACAGGCAGATGTAAATTGAGCCTGACCTCTGGCGAGAATTCGTTTCACTTTAGAATCTATAGCAAACGGTTCCATCCTTCTATGATGAACAGAGAGTGTAATTCCTAGAATTACATGAGGTCACGTGTTCATCTTACATCTTGTCTGCGATCCAAACGCAGCATTGTTTTATAAATCGACTCACATCACAAAGATATGACAACAGGTCAAATGAATCTGATCCGTTGGTCTCAACCGTGCGCAATACATCCCACGGTTCGCGTTGAGTTTCGGTAGAGTCGAACGAAGTCGGACAAGCATCGTCCAAATCAATGTCTCCTATTTGATACCTGGGTTGGTTTGATGTACTAGCGGTTGTGGTAATCTGTTTACTCCATGAGCTTGTACTTGCGCTGGATGTTGTTACTTTGGATAGCCTTAACCACGTGTTAGATGTAGTAGATTCAGCGGTACTATCTTCTCTCTCGCATTTGCTAGTTACTTTTGGTGTAGATTGCAAGCTGTGACTGTTGGTGTTGAAGTATTTGGTTGTCTCAGCACTATCCATTTTTACATTCCACTTCTCTTTATCCGCTATACTTATCAAATCTTTCAATACCCCCTCTTGTGAAGACAAAGCACTATTACCCTCGTATTTCGTACCTAGGACAGGATTACAACAGCAATAAAAAACGATCGTTGGCTAATTATTTAAGGGATCGGATAGATTTGTACTGACCTGATAGTTTAAAAGCAGGTGATTCACCTGTATGAAAATCGCAATGACCCTGGTACGTCTCCATGCACCAGCTGCTTAAATCCTGAAAGTTTTCCTCCCAAGTGGAGGACGTTGCTTTCTCCTCTTCTTTTATTTGATTCACCTTGGATTGTGGAAATACCCAGGGTTCTTTTAGCAATTCTGTTTCCATGGTTGGGGTTAACAAAGGAACTGTGTCCATCTCTGAGGGCTCTTCCATCTGTGGCTCCAATCTCACGCCACGAGAAACAGATGACAGCCGCAGCTGATGGGTGCATGGCTTGGTTACCTAAAATTTCTTTCCTTACAATTTTTTCACCAGCATCATAATACCAATTCAGTTAGATTTTGACAATACACACGTTATACACGCCTCCCTTCTCAAATGAAATGTTGCTGGCCGTTGGGCGTTCGTTAATAGGAGGGATTTTGGATACCTATAAAAATAATAACATCTGACATCCAAAACACATTATCTACCATCTACTTAACATCTCAAAGATTCAATTAGCAACAGGAGGAGTCCATCATAGCCTAGCGATCAGCCCTAACACTTATCATGTTAGTTTAGATTTTATTTACTTGTCGATATGATACCAACAAATACACAGATAATAAATATCAGTAATTCAATCCTGACAGGCTTGATATAGAGTAACAACATGTTAATTTATCATGATAACCGGATTAATATTTCCCAGAAAAGATAACATCTCACATATTAAACACATCCCACCAATACTATTAAATATCATATCTTCAAATGTAATGTAGATAATATATCCATTAAAAAAAAACAAGATATCCACGCAGATAAATCTGATAAATTCCATGTCCATAGAAACTACCATCTAACACAGACTTGATCGCTTAAAAATATTAATCTTCAACATAAAATAACCGAACGAATCAAGTCATCAATAACATCTACCCGTGTACAGACGTTTTCTAGTAATTGTAAACAACAATTCCCACAAAATACATAGTCATCCGTAGCGTGGGTCGTGCATTTGCAACTCACACGCTCGATTGCACTGCGGATCTCCGTGGAGTCTTTTGCAGATAAATGAAAAAAATCGTTCCCCTAGTGTCCCAAGTGCTACAGGGTCCACGGTTTAGCGACAACTGCTTTTAGTCTCGCTAATCACACATTGCCATGCGTCGTTAGTCACCGAGGTGTATCCCAAAGCGAAAAACAACAAAGACGACCGCTCGGCGAACGCAGCCGATGGCTCGCTATCAGCGGTCGGGCCGTAACAACCGATCACGTTCGCGAACGTAATAGCCACGTTTCGAGGGTACCAGTCCCCGCGTCGCTTATCGGCAGCCTCGCGTTCCGGGAAAAGAGAAAAACTAACGTTAATTTTACGCCGCTATCTAACCTTGTTACGTAACGTAAGTACAGCGGTCCGCGAGAAAATAGTCTGTAGCCGTTGTCCGCCGGCGGTGATGCGACTTTCGTCGGGCGAACGTCGGGCCGGATCAATCGGCGAATTTGCGCAGGAACCAGCCGAAAACGGCTGACGTACGTTTCAAGAGATATACGCCGCGACCGCGAACTTTCTGGAATACTATATTTACTCGCGGGCGAAATATATGTGCTGCATTCGCTCGTGCCACGTTCTCAATCGATCCGCGGCTAAACGTTGCGCAGTGTAATTCTCAAGTCATTGCCAGACGGCCCGTGCACGGGTAGACGGAATTAACGCGTTCGCTACCAGCGTCACATATTCGTGACGACCGTAATCCTATATTTTGCATAATGAAAATGAAATCGATCCTATAGACATTGTTCTTACAAAAGATAAACCGACGACATTATATTTAGTAACCCAATGGCTCGTTTCAGTTTCGCTTCTCTGATATCTTGTTTACAACGTTCGTTAGATTCAAGAAAATAATAATCGAGGAGACCGCCACCGAAATAACCGCTGGTGAACGCGTTAAATCCGATCAGCGATTATATAATCGTTATAGCCGACGGTACGTCGCCGCGGCTCGAGATTAAAAATGCCATCGGAGACAGACGCGCACACTTGGGAGGGAAGAAAACAAAATAGATCGACTATAGCTACATGCTCACCCTCCTGAGAACAATCTCCGTTGGTTTGGCTTCCACTTGGGTCGCGAGAACGAGCTGCCTTCTTGGTAGAACTGATCGGTCCCCTTGTAGTTAATACGGGTTCAAAAAGGAACGAGGTTTTCGATCGACGGAGTGTGGTTCGTGTCACTAACGAGATCGATGTTCCCGCACGTTGTGTTACCTCGGCGAGCCTTTTACGCGTAATGCGAGCTGGAGCGTCGACAGTGCCGGATTAACACGTCACGGGAGGCGCTCGAAGCTAGCCGAGCTGGTCGGCTCGGTGTGACCGTAGCGATACGACACCGCGGACCAATCCGAGCCGGGTGACCTCACCGACCGCCAATCGCTGCAGACCGAGCGCCGAAACTCGGACACGTCAGACGCAGGCACACCGGCCGCGAACCGAACCGAACGTTGTCAGTCGATAATTCCTTTCACCCTTGCCCTTTTCTTCTTTTTTCCAGACCTTCAGCCCACCTCCAGCCCGCAGGACTCTCTCTAGATTTCCATCGCATCTCTCAATGGGAATTCCCAGCGAGCCTGACGCCGCGGGCGCAGCTTCCTGCCAAGCTTGAACCCCAGCGACGCTAAAAGTCACTAAACGAAGCTTTCCACGACCGGGGAAGCCTGCTGATCGCCGAACCGATACGATCGGCGCAAGGACGCGCGATAATGGCGAATCACGTGACGCCGATTACCGAGGAATGCGACACGTCGCGTCGCGAGAATGTTTAATTCGCGATACGCATCGATTTTAAGGAGGATCAATTGTAATTTATCACTAGACGGTGCTGGCAACCATCGTTGGTCATAGTACCTTCGGGTTACGCACGGATTTTTAACGGCGCGCGATTCTTGCGTCAGACGAGCCTCGCTTTTCGGAGGTGTGACGATTAGTCTCCGTGTACTCTGGAGAACGATAAATCTAAATGACTCGCCGTTTGGCAATCAATCACGAGATTAGCTTGATTTATGCACGGTCTTATACAACAGGGGAGATCAGACTGTGCTTTGTAACGAAATTGAATGATACGGCGGGGCTTGCGATTTTACCGGATTTTAACGGGGAAATTGAGCGTTGGCCGGCGAGGTGGGCGTCGAAACGATTCATCGAAATCGAAACAATGCACGACCGTGTTAGTTGGATGTGGATTTGTCAAGATGGCGCCCGTTTAAATTCTTCGGCGAAAAGCGAAAACGACTGGAATTTCGATTACATAAACAAAGAGGCCAATTAAATATGGCAATTAATCAATCAGGAACGGGACGTAATTCGCTGTGATACTCCGCGATGGATAAAAAAGATTCTGCGGGCCTGACGGAACGCATCGAAGTAACGCAATACTCACTGCGATTGCGAGGAACAATGAAACGTGTTTAATAAGCGAAGTTTTTTCAGTTACTGTTGAGAATAATGACGAGCCAATGCGCAGAAGGTACTAAACTGTTTAGTACAGTACCATGTTTGTATTACGTTAATGAATCTTTTCGTGGATAGACGATGAGGATTCAAGTTCCATCGACAGCACCGATCAATCAGAGCCAGAGATCGAAGAGGATGAGCCGAATTATCGTGATATCAGGATGAACAAAAACGAGGACAATTTCAACGTTAGTTTACGTTTAAGTAAGTTCTTCGAAGACGTCGAGAAGTCGAGGAAGTATTCGCTGCCAGCTACAGGCAACGATATTCGAGATGGGATTCGGTTCGAAGAAAAGATGTACAGGGTGATCCCGATAAAACTGGACGAAAAGATACCCGAATTGAGGAAGCTGATCAACTCAAACTAGAAAGACCAAAAACATAGAACACTGAATCCGATCGAACGGATCGGCGGGATATTATCGAAATACATTTTATTAATAAAAAAAGAGAAAACAACCGTTTGTTAAAGTTTTTTACAATACAAAGTGAAAAACAGCGTTGCAGGCTTGATCGAATGTACAGATTCGCGGTGTTCCCGAATCGTCGTTGATTTTGATTTTCCCCGAAGTTCTAACTACAAAGTCGGATCGGAGTTAATTGGCCGCTCGAGGTCGCCTCCTCCGTGCGTTCGACGTGACGATCGCCAATTAACTTCAACCCGGGAATCTCCGACAAAC